TCTTCGTTATTGTCCTGGTTAGTTGGGATTAGCTCCCACTTATCACAACTTTAATTTAGTTATAAAAAATTCTTTATTGTACACTTTTCGAAATGGATCACCTTCTTAAGCTGGTTAAAATGACGCCGGTAGATTTCTGGCTAGTCTATTAGATCACAACTGATGATTACCTCCTTGTTCCCCGTCGTCATGTGTGCTTTAATTGGTCATGGTTTTAGTTGATCTATGTCTTTTTGTCCGATAAAGCTTGACAATTTGCGTGCCGACTCTGAAGATAAACTGACCGTTTTGTGTTTAAACAGGCACTTGCTCTTTTAAAAGTTGGTTGTGATGGCTACTTATTGCAATGGTCAGATTTACTTTTCTTCGGCTGAAGCATCCAAGTTAAATGACAATATTAAGTATACATTGGTTTTGCCATTATTTGCCAGGACTGAAAAGGACAAATTTGCGAAAAAATGCAAATGTTCATTATTAAATAGGCACACTGAAATGTATAGTGCTCGTCTAACCTGTGATGTAGACAAATTAATTTGATGATAAAACTGGTACAAAAGTGAGTGTGTTGACTTTTTACATCTTATGTGGTAGTTGGGATTAGCTCCCACTTCATCACAACTTTAATTTAGTTATAAAAAATACTTTATTGTACGCTTGCCAAAACGGATCAGCTTCTTCAACTGGTCAAAATGGTGCCGGTATATTTCTGGCTAGTTTATTAGAGCACAACTGATGATTGCCTCCTTGTACCCCGTCATCATGTGTGCTTCAATTGGTCATGGTTTTAGTTGATCTTTGTCTTTTTGACCGATAAAGCTTGAAAATTTGCGTGTGCCGAATCTGAAGATAAACTGAGAGTTTTATGTTTAAACAGGCATTTGCCCTTTTAAAAGTTGGTTGCGATGGCTATTTATTGCAATGGTCAGATTTACTTTTTTCGGGTAAAGCATCCAAGTTAAATGACAATATTAAGTATACATTAATTTTGCCATTATTTGCTAGGACTGAAAAGGACAAATTTGCGAAAAAATGCAAATGTTTATTATTAAATAGGCACACTGAAATTTATTGTGCTCGTCTAAACTGTTGATGTAGACAAATTAATTTGATGATAAAACTGGTACAAAAGTGAGTGTGCTGACTTTATACATCTTATGTGGCAGTTGGGATTAGCTCCCACTTTATCACAACTTTAATTTAGTTATACAAAATACTTTATTGTACACTTGTCAAAACGGATCAGCTTCTTAAACTGCTCAAAATGGTGCCGGTAGATTTCTGGCTAGTCTATTAGAGCCCAACTGATGTGATTGCCTCCTTGTATCCCGTCATCATCTCTGCTGTACACCGGTCTCCGGTGCTCATAGTCTGTCCCAATTTGGTATGACCAGAAATGTCTTTTTAATAGTCGAGACTGAGAGGAAAACTGATCAATGTTTCCTTTTCCCTCTCTGCTTGTTGATGCCAAAAAGGGGGCCAATTTGGAGCAGCAGATTCGGGCTACCTGGCCGGATACGATGCAGGCGTTCGGTTGTCTCTCCGACGCCAGAGTTGTGCAAAATAACGGCATCTTCAGCCCGATTCACAGTCGCCCAAAGATACAGCAGCCAAGCCGTCCCGTGAGGCAAGTGACTGATTGTGAAAAGGTAGAAATGTTCAAACAGACGCCTCGACAACCGGCAGTCTTGCAGACTCCATGAATGCGTCGGAAGCGGCCAGTGTCCTGCTCGCCAGTGACCCGATCTCTCGGACCTTGGACTCAAGGCTTCCACAGAGGACGGGTCGCATGGCGACGTCCGGCAGAACTGGACTGGCCAAATGTCTACTTGCTTTGGGCCAGCTGCGCCAACCCCGTCATCATCATCAGCATCAGTGTCAGCATCATGAACATCAGCAACAACAACAACAACAACAACAACATCATCATCATCATCATCATCATCACTACCACCACTATTATCAACCGCATCAAGGTTACTTTGATGAGGCTGACGCCGAGGTCAAGCGGCCTGAGGAGAATACCGTTTGCCAGGTCCATTTTGCCTCTTGTTCATGCCGTAGGTCTCTGGAGGCGCTGACGGACGGTGCGTCGATGAGTTCCGAAAGACGGCCAGAAATTATGAGTAAATTGGCCATTTTTTGCGATGTCTCCTCGATTCGTGGCATTCAAAAGATCAGCCGAGGCCAGACGCCTTTTATTCGTCTCCTCTGGACGGGATTTGTTGTCACGATGACCTGTCTTCTGGCCATGACTACCGCCTTTTTGGTATCCGACTTTCTCAACTTCACCACAGCCTGGCATATACGCACTCTGCTGGACAACAAGACAGAATTTCCCGGCGTCACGCTTTGCGGTCACAATCCGTTTTCGCTTGAAGCCAATCCAATCTGGGCGAACAGGTCAATGCTGACGCCGTGGGAGTTTCGCACCAGAATGTACAACGCTGTGCGTGTGTTCATCGAGACCGGCGAGGTACAGTACGCCCAAAGCGCCGTGATCGACACCACCGAAGCCTTTTACGCCAACCTGCGTCCGCATGAAGCCTTTCGAATCGGCCATCAAGACGAGATGTTCCCGCATTGCATGTACATGGTGGACGGTGCCATGGTGGGTCTGGAAGGCTGTCGCCTTGACGATCCAAGCATTCCGTTTGTCAAACGGCAATTCTCGCATCCCAAATATTTCAACTGTTGGACAATCGAGGGCAAAGCCGGCCCTCGAGGTGGCTGGGGCTGCAATGCCTCCACGGAAGAGTGTGACGACAGTCTGAGCACAGCTGAAGTGAGTCGATTGATCCTGCTCGTCCGTTTGGTACCATCAAGTCGTGTCGTCGAGGCGAAAGACGGCTTCGTGATGGACACGTTCACGCGAGGTGAAGGTCTCAAATTGACCATTCACGAGGCCGGAGCCTATCCGGAGGTCGAGAAGACCGGCGTCAATGTGCAGCCGAGCCGATTGAATGAGGCCATCTTCCAGACGCATCTTTGGTCTCGTCTTCCCACGCCCCGAGCGCCCTGCGACGATCATCAACCGGCCATTCGTGACCTCGATGCCACTTACATGTACGATTTTGCGCAATGCTTGGACACGGTGCTTCAATGGAAGTCAATTCACGAATGCGGTTGCCTCAACTCCGAATGGCCTCGACCCGTGCAACCCACCGACGTGCTGCGCAACATCACCTACTGCGCCACTCTGCCCGAGCATCCCGAGGATCCGGATCTGGTGGCCGGACTTATACAACGCTTCCACTGCACCTACAACATTCTCATGCATGTGAAAGAGTTGAAAGAGGCAGCTGTGCTCGCCGGTGTCTGCAAGCCGCGCTGTACCTTTTTCACGTATGAAACCGGCCTCTCGATCACCTCGTGGCGACCGAGCTCAAAAAAGCTGCATCACTACACCCAACTGTATGCTGAACTGGAGCTGTTTGTGCGTGAGTTGAACAAGACTGAGGCGCAAAACCGATTTCTCGCCTACATGAAGGACGTGGTCGAAGAGACGAAAGGTGATACCGACACGGTGAGTCAGCCGAACAATTTCGATCATGTCAAAAGTGATCCAAACGATCAAATGTCCGAAGTGACCGAAGAAGGCCTACACACCATCATCAGCGTGGTACGCAAAGACTACGACACAATGTTCAAAGAGGAACGCTTGGTCTTTGACATTTACATTTTGATCTCTCGAGTCGGCGGTCTCTGCTCTCTCTTCATCGGTCTCACCACGGCCGTCCTCATCGAGATGGTCGAATTTGTCTATTTGGCCTGGCTGGCGTCGAGACGAGCCAAAAGATCCGCTGCCGTCGCTGCAACGTGCCCATCGCGTCGCAACATGCCGCAATTCGGCGCAGCTCGAGATCCTTCGAATTGTCTTTGTCGAAGTTTGGTTGCTATGGAGACCGGCCGTGATGTGTCTGCACGTCAGATGGTCGTTTGTCGTCCATCCCAATTGGATGCTGTACCCGAAGGTAGCGGAGAGTCAGGCAGAGCAGAGATTGATGACGAGAAAAGAGGAGAACATCACTCATCTCCGACCTTCGTCATGGCTATCCGACACCCAGACCCAGAACCGCCGACTTATCAGACAAGAATAGATGAACCTAACGAAGGGTAGCATGTTTGGCCAAGAGTGTGTATCTGCCGAATCAACTGTAAATATGAGACTCTGTCAGCATCACCTCCTGTCAACCAGTCAATCCGGTTTTTTTTTATTCGACAATTATCATCAAATTATATAGAAAAACTTGCCGAAAATGTAAAGAAAGACAGTCAATTGCATCGCTTTGTACATGTTTACCTTTTTTGGGGAGAATAAATAGGCTGAGAGTGAACCTTGAATAATTAGACCGTTTAATAGTCGGCTGTTGGAAGGTCGCTTCCATCAGAAAACAATGGCCAATCTCGCTTGACCAGCTCTCGTTTGGATTTACTGGAACCTATTTTTCGTTTATAAGTAAGTTCTCAACGCTGCCAGTAAATCATGTATGTCTATCCAACCTATTTCATTTACAGTATGAGTAGGCTTTTTGTTTCCACTCAATTTCACATAGTCGCTATCACCCTTAGGAAATAGTGTGAATACACTTCATAGATAATGATTTGCTTATAAACGAAAAAAAAACAAGAGAGAAAATGTCTGATCTCTCTTTTAATTCACATCTGCCAGGGGCATTGGAGGCAGTTTGGCGTAGAGAGTACCGTGTCGTGATTATACATTGTACCAGCAAGAAACAGGTTCGAGTCCCGCTGGGGATGAGAATAAGACCAATCAGACGAGGCCGAAACTGTAGTCTACTCCTGTCTGGATGGGAATACTTTGTGAGAAGCAAGGCTATGTGAAATTCAACTCATATGATTGTGGAAAAATTCACATAGTCTCTATTTCCCTTAGGAAATAGTGTGAATACACTTCATAGATAATAATCTGCTTATAAACG